GGGTATCGAAACCCGGTTTCTAGCAGTATAAGTTCGCAGACATATCGCTGTGCCACTGGAGGGGCTAGAGTTACTGTAAAGGATATTAAACCTAATTTTATACATTACACGATGACACCTCATCCAGTAAAATTCAGATTATGTTTTAGTAAGATCTAGACGAATAAATATAATTAATTTTGATCAAGCACAGATGCCAGTTATACTGTCCTGACGAAAAGTGTTTACATTATTACAAAAACCACTAGATAACCTTGCGTTTTCGGAATCTCCACTAAATATAAATTCTATTTTCAGTTAAAAGGTCTGACTTTCAAAATTGTTCAGTTTTATCATATGGAAGCTTTTGTGACATTTCGTAAGAGATTAAGGCGGTTGCAAGACGACTAAAATATATATAATTTGTTCAGAAGGCATTCCTCTGGAAGGAGAATGGTCTATGGGATTGAGTTTGGATTCCTTTCTTTGTTAGTTTTTGTAGAGAAAAAATCACATCGTTTAGTTTGTCAATGTCTTCTCTTTTTTCATATTTGTGTAAATTTGACCTGAAGGTGATATGATAGACTTTCGAAACTTCGTCCTCATATACTTGTGTTTCTACAACTGGTTTGTTTGTAATTAAGCACAAAGCTACACAATGGGCTATCTGTGCTCTGCCCACCACGGGTATCGAAATCCGGTCTCTAGCGTTATAAGTCCGCAGACATACCGCTGTGCCACTGGGGGGGGGGGGCTTTACAACAGGCAGTTGCTATCTATTCAATTTAACTTCATGAGTACTCTGCCTAACAATCTCTCAAAGAGTACAAGACAATTATTTTATATTTTAAATCGGTGTTATTTTTCACCATCATATTGCTCTTTCATGTTCATATCTCACTACATATCAGTGTACAAATATATTCGCTTCCATTCATTTAATAAAACAAAACAGAAACTTGATTTCGTTAAATTAATTTGATCATGTTAGTATCAATAAAACGGAGTTAAAATAAAGTAACGAAAGACTGTGTTTTATGACTACATTAAATGACTTTTATAAAGCTTAAATATTGAGTCCTGTTGATTTATTTTTATGAATTACACATACTATATTGTTATTAAAAGCTTAAACAGGATTGCAGCAATATAATAATACCATATCAAAATATTTAGTAAATAGATTTTTATGTTAACTGGAATTTTATGTTTATAAAATCTGGTTACAATACTTACCAAACTTTTTGCAACATTTACTTTGCACATCATAATTTTATATCTTAATAATATGTCCTTTTCAAGATATATATAATCAACCCATATATTCTGCTTGTCTTCTTCCTCAAAACTGCGATCTAATTGGGATGAAGAAGCCGACTTTCACTCATAATTATATTCTTGACGTTAATACTTGCGAACGTTTCATTGGCCTATGTTAGGCACGTGACTTTCTTATTGGAGTACTTGTACATTTGCTGAATACGAGACCCCTCTAGGAGTGTATTGGTGTTACCGCGCTTCGTTGTGGCGAAGGTACCCAGTTTAAGAATCAACTTAGAAGCTGTCGGGTGTGTGAGAGTGTTCGTCCGTGGTTGCAGAAGCAATGGAGAAAAGGATTGATCTGGAGAAGCGGGGAAGAAATCCAGCACAGGTTTTACATAGATTTATATCTCCATCTTTAATTTTGATTATACATATAATTTATTATTATTGAAAGAGTTTCGTTTAAACCTCAAAGAAAAACATCAGAAAATGTAGAAAAGTCATTTGTTCTGTTTCCAAAGTTATTCTTGCTGCTTAATTGTGGTTGGTGTTCTTGATACACCACGTGTTAACGTTACGTTATTAGAGGTCACATGCAATTTTTATATGTACAGTCGGTTTACAGATCTATATTTGTAAAGATTCGAAATGTATCCATTTGTATTTACTCACAGTTACCAATTCCTCTTTTACCTTAAAACTTTGTATTTTGAAGAAAGTGTCTAAATACTCTAAATAAGTAAACTGCAGTGACTTGTACTACCATAGTTTGAAAGCTAGTACGGTACAGTCGTCAATACAAGCTAAGCAAGCGCTTTTTTACTTCGTCAGGGGAATGAGCGATCCGCTGAATTCAAATATGGCACCTTAAGAAGGGTGTAGCTTAACACTGAGTAACTAAATTTTTATAAGATTTGGACATTGTTTTAAAAGTGCTTAATCGTGTATGCATGCGACATTGTTTCTAAGTTATGAGTTCATTAACTTGTTATTGGTAGTGAATTAAAGTTTATTTTATGGTTTGGATCTTAAAGTTAAATAATTATACAAAAGCAAATTAGGCCTAATATACCGTGTGCTATAGGTTTACCAGTGATAAACGAGTAATGATTCATGACTGTCATTGTTAACATCACAACAAATAATTTTCAACTTTAAAATTTCCTCTTTGGTCAAGTTACTCAGACATCAAAAAATGTTTCTTGTAATTTGAGCATTTAAAGGTGATTTAAGGTCAATCTGTCAAAAGTTAGTTATTAGTTAAGACTTGAATAAAAATCTGTATCTTGTATTGTGGGTTGCAACATCTAAGAAATGCAAGTTATCACACAAAGAATACAGTTCAACTTAAATTTAATGAAAATTCCTGCAGGCTCTAAACAGTTCCTTACTGTTAATACTATTAATAATGTTGATTTATATCAGTGTTTAAGCAATCATTTAAGTTATGAAAATATTTTACCTTAATTTTGCGAATAGGTTAACGTTATATTTAGAAATTTTAATGTCTGAATAACCAAGTTTGCATGTTTGTAACAGTGATATGAAAATATGTAGTTTAGTAGATACATCTTGTCTTGTTTCTGTTTTTCATATATACTTAGTTCTATACGTTTAATTTGTTAGTTGTTTATTCATTTTTGAATTTGTAGTATTAAAATATAATCAAGAATCAAGTAAACATGGTTGAGTTCTTAATTTTTGAGTTTTGAACTTTTGAAGATCTTGTTAGTGACGCTGATAATCTGGTGAACTGAACCACGTGCGGAAACGTTGAAGCTTCACCGCTCGTTTGAACAACTTTACTGTTTAATTTTAAAGATTGCATTTCCTTCCATGTTTTAAGGAAAAGCCTATATAAATTCCGCTGTTACATCGTTCGAATTAAGTTTTTTTTTATATGCGCATATTAAATCTTTTACACAGTTGTAATGGGGAGAAGTGACTCATTCTTGGTTTCTAGGTGCTGTGTGTGTATGTTTTAACACAAACACTACTATTGTTAGCAGACATAGACAGGGTATTGTGTTTAATTGTCATTTCACAGGTTTCTATGGCATGCTTTTATTTAGGTGGACAAAATTATGAATTTTTAATTGTCGAAATAATGTATTACTTTTTTAATAAAAAGTTGAAAAGCAGCGGCTCGTTGCATTATGGCGGGAACCCATGTTGTAGCAGGCGTCCCGTGTGCGTTTAGTATGACGTTCTACGTTTGGCGGTGGTTAAGCCGCCATGTTGGTGGCGTCTTGGAAATTGCTTGTGATTATGATAATATTAATGCGTTTTTTCGCAACTCTTTGTTAGTGCACTGCGTGTAACATTTTGCATATTTTATAATATAGCAGAAATTATCTTGTAATTCTGTGTAAAGTTACGTCTTACATGGTAGTTATGTATGTTGTGTACACCTATGCTGAGTTCCGTTTGCGTATGGCGCAGTGCCCTTGGCACCGGTCTTTGTTCGTAGTTGATGTTAAGCTGTGTCAGAACGTTGGTTTTGAACCATTATATAAACTTCCAGAGTGTCGATCCAGATAACTTTACGAATAATTTGAAATAATTTTATTAACGAGTATGGAGCTTTGAGTTGTATCCGAAACTTTCAATATGCAGCATTATAACTACAATGGCTGGATAGGTCTGGCGTGGTTTTGGTCACGTGATCGCACTAAGCAGCAGTGTAACGATTTTAGTTAGGTTAAGCTTCCATGTTGGAAATTAGTGTTTTTTTCTAAGTCCTATTGAATTTATGACAACGTTGTAATTAATTTCATTCGAAAAATATAAGGTATGAGAAAAATCTGTATTTGTCAAATTATACAAGTTAATATTTGTGTATTATTATTTTAATTGAGTGTAAAGTTATCACCTTTTCATATGTTCTTGTAATTATCATTTCAGATAAAAGAATTAAATTTGGACAATAGTCGCAGCACAAATATAGTGGGTTTAACAGATGAATTTATCAACTTAGAAACCCTTAGTCTTATAAATGTTGGTTTAACAAGCCTTAAGGGATTCCCAAAGCTGCCCAGTCTTAAAAAGGTAAGATTTGTTGTAAAAATAGAATGAGTGATATAGGATTTTATCATATTATTTACGTGTGTATTTTATAAAGAACTTTCGTATAGTTATCTTGGAATATGCCAACCAATTGGCTGACATCCATAAATTTTTAAAATGTGTTAAATCTGAGTTTGTGAATTTATGTATAAAATAACTTGGCCATATACATAGTTTTCATCTCACAATAGTACATCTATATATGTTTTATAGCTGTAAAGTGAATCGTCATTCAGCTTTCAGTTATTTTTTTTAATAGGCAGACAAATGTAGCCAGTGTTGGGGGGGGGTCTTTAGCTTTGTTACAGAAGTTGTTTTACAGTTCTTTATTATAGTTATCATTTTTTTTTTTTGTTATTATAGCTTGAACTTAGTGACAACAGAATTTCTGGAGGATTGAACTTACTTCATGGAAGCCCAAAACTCACTCATCTTAATCTTAGTGGCAACAAAATTAAAGATATTGATACTTTAGAACCACTGGTAAGAAGTTGGGTTGACTGTTAAAAAATAGACTTAATATTTGTGGTAAGATCTGGTTAGATGGTAGTGTTCTTTTCTCCAAATTTCTCTTAAGTTCATTATGATTTCAAATCAGATTTGTGTAAAAATAGTATTTCAGATCTGTATTGATTAGCCTGAGTCACTGACTGCTTAGCATTTTAAATTTGGTACTTAACTTTTCATTTTGAGGGGTCTACATACTGTTGGATCATTATAAGTTGGGTATTTTTTTGTGTAAATGGCTTTAAAAAGTTTTTCGTCTGTATATCTTAGTGCCTTTTAAATTCTAATGGTATAAAGATTTCACATATATTTTTTAATAACTTCAAGTTTCATACTTCTATCGATGTAATGGTTGAAACATAACCATGGATTTTTGTTTTCATCTTAATTTTACACTTATATTACTAAATTAATGTTGTCCATTCAAGTCATTTACCTCGTGGCAACTATGTAAGGCATTATTTGAGAAATAAGTTTCAACTTGATTTGGTGTTGTGTGCTCTAGAAAGGATTTGTATATTCAAGGCCAGAAAATTCAGGCTAGATACCTAAATTGATAAAATTTTATTTTTCTTTTGGAAACCTAGTCAGTAACTATTAGTTTATTTTATAGAAGGAATTCAAGAACTTAAAAAACCTTGACCTCTTCAACTGTGAGGTAACAACCATTGAGAACTACAGAGAAAAGGTTTTTAATTTAATACCCAGTCTTAAATACCTTGATGGGTATGACAGAGAAGAAAAAGAGGCCGAAGATTCAGAAGTGGATGATGAAGATGGTAAGTTTTGTTTTGTCAGTCCCGCTTCTTGAGTGATAAAAATTCTGCATTAGTGTATAGAATTCTTCCATGTTCAAGAACCAATATGTTTGGGACATTTTATTAACCAAAGTTAAGATTTTTGAGCTAATAAAATACTTCTTTTGGGAATATTGTGTTAGTAGGTTGACGGTTAATGTTTTATTTAAAAAATTAATTCCCAACATTATATTACCAAATGTCAAATAGGATATTTCCATATATTATTATCAAACTGCGTTTATCTCTAAATAGCATCCTAATTTGTTGTTTATTACTTTATTTTATAGGATTCAACTCATTAGATGTGCAAAATAATATTTCCCTAATAGATTGCAATTAAAAAAACTTTTGATTAGTGATGGTAAGAAATATAAATTTGATTGGCTAAATCATTATTTCAGCTAATGAAGATGATATCGATGAAAATGATATAGACCATGGAGAGGGGGAAAGTGAAGGTGAAGATGAGGATGAAGAAGATGGCGAAGGTAATAGACTGTTGTACTGTTGATGCATTATATTGAGTGAAGCAATTACTTTTGTCCATTAAAAATTTGATGATGTTTTTTATTTTGTCCTGAAATAATAAATGCTTTTAAAGCATTAAAAAAGCTTACTTTGATATTACAGTGAATTTAAAATGTTATCAGGAAGTTTGAAACTAAGTACTACTTGTTTGAATAATTTGTTATAAGCTTTTGTAAATTTATAATTTCAGATGAAGATGAGGATGATGACGTGAATGTAGATGAAGAAGAGGATGAAGATGGTGAGGAAGATGATGATGAAGATGTGGACGATGAGGATGCTGACGAGGATGGAGAAGACGAGGTCGGTCTTGCATACCTAGAGAAAGACGATATTGATGTTAGTACATGATTTACTGACATAAGTATTAGATGTAGTATTGCTTATGATGTGGTATGTTCAAGAATCATAATGACTGAGTTTTGTTATTGTTGAATATACTGAAATTCATATGAATTCTGCATCACGGTTGGTTTTTCTAGAATTACTTACATTTTTGCACAAAACTGAGTTTTACTTTAAAAATGCAGTGTTTTAACATCAGTTAAGTATGGGTTGAATATCAAACTATTAAAAACATTTTACATGTATTACAGTGTTTAGATTTTGTTTTTAAATTGTAACAATTCTTCAATATTTAGGAAGAAAGTGAAGGTGGTGATTATAACCCCGGGGGTGATGATGATGATGAAGGAGGTATGTTTTTAAGAACATATTTGAGTACAAATTATAGTTTATAATATTTACTGTGGAAATTATGGAACTATTACTGCTATTATAAGTTTACACTGGAAGTATGTGTATGTTATATATCTAATGCACAATGTATTTTGAATGAAGGAAAGGAAATGTTTTTTCTAAGCAATAACTATCTTTTAGTTTCTTAGAACTACATGTTTGAATCAATAATCTCTTCATAATCCATTTTTTCGTGATGTTTGAGTACTAAGAAAATTGATCTAATAGGTTACGAGTAATTTTTGGGGTGAAAAGATAAATAAAATATAATGCAATATCCATCATTGAGGATTTGTTGGAGCTCGTCCGTAAAATGTATTCCAACATTAGCTGGGTTAACTGAATAAACTTAACTTTCCAACTAAACAAGATGTAAATTGTACACCAAATTAAAGTACATAATATTTTTGTTTGTGCAGACTGTAGCTATAGTAGATGAACATTGGTGCTTTGTAATTAATGTAAGAATAGTGAAAAGTAAAAGTTTTTAAACAAGAAGTCTAGAAAAATCCTACAGTGAGATTTTGTTAAGTGGCATTAACACAAGATGTTCAAATTCAGCATTTTATGGCCAAATCATGGTACTTGTTAATATTAACTTGAATTTTTATTTTTAATGTGGTTTAGCTATGGCTATAAACATTGGTGTAATGATTTATTGTTTGAGATTTTGTTATATTGGTAAATTGCATTGTGCTATCCCTTCATTTTACTCCTTAAGTTGGGTTAAAGTGTATATAAAGGTTCTGTATTATTCTCCAAAAGAGTATAGTAATCAGTTGTATTACACTTGATAGCATTTTATTCACGTTTTGTTAGAATGCAGTTAAATTCTTTAAGCTGTTCAATGCTTTTCATTGCGAGTTCCTAAAAAAGTGATATTTGAGATATCAGACAAGTTTTACTTTATTCAACATCACTTGCTCTTTTTTGTGATCAAATTATTTTCTCCATTAATTTCTTTTCGTATGAAGAAGAAGAATCCCCAAGAGGTCAAAAGAGGAAGAGGGAAGATGAGGAGGAGGGAGAAGATGATTGAAACCATCCACATAAGAATCACCTAAATCATCATCCATTTCATAACCATTTGTAGAATTTGTATGTACAGCTAGACATTTCACCAGACTTGGACTTGTTGTGTTGCCCATAATTGGTTTGAAGCTCCAAGACATCCCCGTCAAGATGGGAGGGACCATTGATATGTATAGGGAAAGAGCTAAAACATCTCTATGGGTGCCTGGGGCAATGGGTTTACCGATGGGTCAAGTCTCATCGCCCACTTAAATACCAGCTCACATATTCACTCCACGCTTTCATCCCCCACCTTCAGGTGGAGTATTGTCCCATTCTTTTATAAAAGTATCATTCCTCTTTAGTATGTTTTTCTACAAGTTACAGTTTCACAAGGTTTTCATATCCAGCTCTGTCATGAACGTTTTACCTTTCTTGTTACCTGTCAACAAGCATCTACATATAACTTGACCATGCTGTGTGGGGTAGGAAAGTGTTGGAAAATATACAGTTAGCTCTTGAAATGAAGTAGCGACTGACTACAATCTTATTTTAGGGTTAAATAATTGGCTTCAAAGGTTCTTGTTAAATACTTAAGAAAAATTTGGGGAGTTTTAAAGAAATTCAATTGTTACTTAGCTTTCCAATTGGTTATTGCAGCATGTAGAACCTAATACATTTCTGTTCAATGGGTCTGATAGTTGTCGATGCCTAGCTGATGGAAAACTGTAAATTTAGAAGTGCACAGTTATGGCTATCTGATTTTATTGTTTTATTTCTTCAAATAATTGTTCTATTTTCATGTATTTTTTTTTATGTCCTTTCGTGAAATGTCATACCATTCTCAGATGCTGTAATTCAGTTCTGTTGTTAAATAAAAGTTTTTAGAAAATAATTTCTGACTTTGTTATTACAGGCCTTTTCTTATCACATGTTAGAAATGACTACAAATAAAGAACTTCGAGAATAACTCCATAAAAAGTTTACTTCAGTTTATAGATTAATATCAATGTAAAGTGAGGGTGGTGTCAAAAGAATAACAAAATTTAACAGAACGCTAAGAATACTTAGAAACCTACTATATCTGGGATGTTTTGATAGTTTCTTTAGACGTTCTTACCATTCCTGAAAATGTTTTCAGGTGATATATGAAAGTTTCCTATGACGAAAATTCAGGACATGCTAGGTTTAGAGAGTACTGTAGTGATGACAAATATTTATGGAACATTGTTAACTATATCATATTAAAATATTTCACAAAAATAAAAACAATTTGTAATATATTTATTATACGTAAACTGATTTCAAAAGAAAATATTGTTACCTAGCTTGACTTGACACCATTTTGGAAGGTCGGGTCTTAAGTCATTAATTAATATATTATTTTATGTGGTGTTTATTTTTATAACCCAAAGTGGTGACTACTGCAATCACCGAAAACTAAAGTTCTAATGTTAGTGAAGATGCATCAACTTAAAATTTACTGGTTATATGAAGTAACTTTCTGATGAATGATAAATGAAAGAGGAAAATAAGTGATGTATAATAGATCTTATCAATGTGATACACTATGAACATTTCAATTTAACCCAGCATTATATAAATGTCATAGACGAAAATCTATTATGACCTCATTGAGATACCCCATACTATGTGACTAACTGGTGACACTAAATGAAAAAATCCATCGAGTGTGTAATGAGTGACCCACCAATGGGACGAAAACTAACTTAAAATTCCAGAAAGTGATTTAAAACCAGAACATCCACTCGCTGTAAAGCTGTAGTGTAAACCTTCAAGTAGGCAAGATGAAACTCACCAAAAGCTTTAACAAATTTAGTTCCAACCTAACTAATGAGATTAAATCATGCATTTTTTTAAAGTTCATGTGTCAAATATTTAACTAATTAACTATTTAAATGAGTAGATGTAAAAGTTTAAATATCTAAAATAAATTACAAAACGAATTTATGAATTGAAAAATACAAGATTCTAAACAAAGTTAAAGTAATTATCATATTACAAGCAAAAGTACCCGTCCCTAGTAATTGGAAACTTTTAAGTTCATCTACCAGTTAAAATTATTTCATGGACTTTAAAAAGGTTGATTGTGCTGCTCTCTTGGTTTCACTCGGAGCTACTTTACAGCCCGCCGCGAAAAGTAATTGTTGAGCATTTAAGTCATGCTAAGAACTGCTCAACAGTATCATACGGTAAATCTACATTTTTGTTCTACACGTTATGTCACATTTTGAAATGTGAATGATAGTGTCATTAATTCATAACAATTTAGTGTTGAATATCCTGTTTGCGGAATAAAATTTGACATCAAAATTATTCATGCCTGCTCTCCCATCATTTCGAAAGTGAATGTGGAGTTTTGCCTGCTGCATTTTTTCAATCAGGAGAGAGCAGTTTCAAAATCTTAAAATTTAGTATTCCAATGTACATTTAAAATCATTAGAAAATTGGTAATTCTGCAAAATACAAGGTTTAAAAAAAAAGACTGAGACGGAAGACAAAAATTTTAACAAAAACCAAAACCGTTTTATTGTATTTGACAATGAAATTAACATAGTTTGTCATGGCTACAGTGCTATTAGTCTGGCCATCTATTCTGTGGCTACTGGACTGTACCGCAATTGGACAGGGCACCGATAGAATGCAGTCTTGGAGCCATCGACCTTGAATTCGCTTTACTTGGTATTTATATAAAACAAACTTCCAGGATTCCTGCGTCATGTAATCTGTAGTCGTAAATTAAACATAAAATCTGTACTTCAGAGGTTTGTACAAATATACTGGAGACAGTTTGTTATGAAGTTACACTTGATAGCTCAGAAAATAAGTAATGAAGTTTCATCTCGGGCTGTCCCAGCTATTTATCATGTTCCATCCTAATTATATCTATTTGTAGGTCAGCATTAGTGGTAAGACTCAAAGAGGTAAACTATTCACCATTAGTATATCCTCTTATGACTCAATGATTAAATACTACTCCTGCTATCTTCTGAATCGACCGTATCTTCAATTTTTCGTTCAGTCAAGAGGTTCATCAATGAAATACGGCTTTAGTTTGTCAACATATTCAATCCACTTTTGCACGACACATGGCGCTGCAACTCGTAACTTGATGAACTGAGCTGCCAAAATTCATGTGCTTCAGCAAATACATATCTCAAATACCATTGCACTTATTCTTGTGAACAGTGTGGCGCATATGCACTAGGACAGGGATTATGCATATCATTGAATGGGAGCTCTACACACTCAAATATTAAACAGTTTGGTAAACAACCAATTGGCTGTTGCTCCGTTTTCCTATATGCCATTATGGTGTCTGATACATCTTAGTCAGGGAGTTTAGCAAAATGATTGGGATATTCTGGATAAAGCACCAAATTTGTTTTCGTGCTCCCTTAGGCACCATTATTTGACGTTTTATGCTAGGATCCATCAAAGTCACCACATTTGAATTATCATATGCCATATTTTGGTGTTTTTTTTTCTATATTTAGCTTATAACATGATAAGAATGTTTTCTTTTTTGTGTATAACATGAAAACTATGGATGTCGTAATTAAATTGATACAACTTTTTCTAGATGAGATCTTAGAATGTTTTAATTTGGTATTTAATACGTTTCTTAATCCAACTCTTTAACAGTGAATCTAAAGAAAATAGTGTTTGTACAGCATAAATCTTTGTGGCTAGAGACAAAGTTGTAAAAGAAATATTATGCTACGCATCTAGTGTATATCATTAACAAATCATTTACTTGAACTTAAAATGATTATGACAATTCTTGTATACACGATATTAGGAACTGTATACAGGAAGTTAGTTCATACATAAAAAATGGTCTCTTTCAGACTTACTTTTCACATTTACAGACTATGGAGGTCATGGGTAGGGTGATCCAAATGGTAACTAAGACTTATTGTCCTTAACTCATATCCAATCTTAGCCCTATGAAATGGGTGTCTGCTGATGGTTCAATATGTTGTTTGTCCAGATGTTTGTAATTAAGCATAAAGCTACACAATGGGCTATATGTACTCCGCCCACCACGGGTATCGAAACCCGTATTATAGCGTTATAAGTCCGCAGACATACCGCTGTGCCACTGGGGGGGGGGGGGGGCTTGCAACAAGCTTTGAGTACTGAAACAAAGCATCTTGTGTAGAAAGAATATTTTCCATGGTCTGGTTTCTTTGGCATAATAGCTCTTTTCTTGTCTCTTTAACTGTCATGTTTTTGTATAGGGTTTGGATTATTTATGGTTGGTGTCTGTGACTTGTTGGCGATAAATTTCAACAATAAATGGAAAGCATACAGTCCACTTGTTTTGAAATATATTCAAAACAAGTCAAACATATGTACAAAATATCATTACATTATTGATTACCACAATTGAAACTACAGCTTTAAATAATTCTCTTTTACGTTAAAAGTCTACACAGGCTGATTCAATTACTTTAGAACCAAACTGACAAGACGAACTAGTAGTTTCTGTCTCTGTTATTACACTACAAACCGTGAAACTTTCATTTTAGAAATCGCCCTTTATGGCTAAACTGACATGCAGTCTACCTTCACTTTTACTTTCACTAACTTAACTTACTTCCTCTCTGTATTTATAACACGTGACAGAAAAATTAGTTATATCTGGCCCTCTAGTAACAACAGTATTAAATATAACGAAAAACACTTAGAAGATCAGAGCAAGATGACGTCAACAATATTACGAAAGCCAAGTACAACAATTAAACTACATACACAACATGTGACTCATAGAGAGTTACCTTACAAAACTTGTCAAAACTATAACTTTTAACACTTATGAAAAATAAATAACCAATAAATATAAAATGACTAAATAATAACTCTTAAACTAAACAATTTTTGTATATCCAACTGTAAGCTCCTCTTCAAGAAAAATACAATATTTGTTATATTATATACAAAGACTGTTCTCAGGTCATACACGAAGTCTTTTCATATGGTCTACACAAACATTTGCAGTTCCCTTGTTGGTCTCTCTTCACCTAAGGCATCTGGTAAGGTTCACCTTTAGAGGATCTCTTGTTTTCGTCGAGATCTTGTGTTGCCTGATCTATCTGTAGACTGGCACAGTATATCTTGTGCTTCTTTCTTCTGCTTGCCAGTCAATTCTTCACTGGTGTTGAAGTCTTTGTATGTCTCATCTCATCTCCACCAAATGGTCTTAGGCCTAGTAGGTCTTCATCTTATATGACAAAGTGTCTAGTTCTGCATCTATGACAGCTACACCTGCCATGTCCATCTGTGCCTCAATATTTGCACCCATTATGTCTTCTTCCCTCTCCAAGTACCTCTTCAACAGATTGGCATAGTATATCTTGGTTTTCCTGTCCACTTTCACCTTATAGTCCATTCTGTTGAGCACTTCCCGAAATTCAAAAGGCCCTATTCACTGCAGGGTGAGTTTGTTGTTGTCTGTACGCAGCAGAATCAGGAACTTTTGTCCGACCTTGAAATGCCGATCCTTGGCCTTCTTGTCATAGAAGTGCTTCTGACTGCATTTGATGTGTTTAGCTTCCCCAGTAGAACTACTTTTATAGATCTGTACAGCACTCATTTTTGATCCCTTATTCTGTAGAACCTTTTCAATTTGGTCTTGTGCTTCACTTTCTCTCGAACACTGTCCCAAAGTTTCTGCAGTGAAAGGTCTTTCTTCAGTTCCTGTAGACCTACATTTGGGAAGTCACTTTTAGAGACTTTTAGGAGTTTGATGTTTTCTTCTCTTGAGCCCTTTTGGTGATTGCAGATACTTTATCAGTCCCCTTTTTGTTTGGTTCTTCCAAACTTCTACTTCCTGGTATGTTTCCAATCATCAAATTATAGATGAGCGCC